ATTTTACATGCAATTTTGATGTACTTTTAACAACTATCACGACAAATTTCAACTACAAATTTGTTAAAAATCTTGAGATATTGCCAAAATTATAATAGAAGCTTCAAACCCTTGCTTATATACACCCATGTATAAATTTTTTTATATCTCACAAATTAAGTATTTAAATACCATAAAAAATTTATATATAGCTTTTTAGCTCAATAACACAAATTTTTAAAAATTTTAAGCCAAAAATTCATCTAAAAATTCAAGATATGGCTCCAACCATTACTATCAACAAAACAACTCATTTATCGCCTCTGAATTACATAAACTGTCTTCAATGCTCTAAAACTTCTTTATACAAACTCCAAATGCAAAAATTCCTTCACAAAAGATGTAGATCTTAAAATCATCCTTGTGGCCGCACCTCTTGATTTCCAAAATATATTATAAAACTCCTCGTATCCTCAAAATAGCAACTATATATCTTAAAAAGACACCTTAACTTCAAATAGCTATAATTTCATCATCCTAACTCCAAATCCTCTAAAATTTGTACACAAATTGTAGTCCAAACTCTAAATCTTACAATAAATGCTTCTAATTCTTAAATGTTCCTTTTGAAATTGCCAAAACCCTTGATATGGTCACAAATTGCATGCTGAATATCCATTGGACATAGCCTTCGACCAATAGGGATAAAGATCTTTACTTTATGCCTTCATCCGACCATGCCTTGATTTCATCCCTCTCCATAAGCCTCTTAGTAGTTTAGATTTTCATCTTAAGGCTTCTACCTTCTCTCAAAGCTCTATATTAAATATTTAAATCTTATATAATTTAAATACTATAATAAAAATAGATAAAATTTAAAATAAAGTTTCTTATATCTACTCTCTTTAAATTAATTTATTAACCATTCTAACACACATCAAGACTTATGAACATAAAATATATTTTAACTAATTTTTACATACTATAAGTATTTACACTATGACATTGATGTCATATTACGTATATTCTTACTTGAGAATGCAGTAGGCATCTAGTTATGGAAGGTAAGTAGGAATGCAATAATAATCCTATTAAGTCTAATATAATCTTAAATAAACCTTAAGTAAATCTTAGTAATCTTAATCAAATTTTAACTATTTTAAAATAAATTTAAAAGAAGTTATAAAAGAAATATAAATAAGAAAATTTATAATTGTAAACACATTTTATTTCTCAAAATCTAAACCAATTAAGAAAATTACTAAAATTAATGCCTAAAAATCTTTTCTTCTATTTGCTTTCAAATTTTATTATTTGATGTATCAAAAAATCTTAAAATTGCCATATATATGTAGTTTTATACCTCAAGTTCCAATTTCAATCCAGGTTGATAATTGGTCCTCTTCAAGTATCAATTTTTGATAATTTGAGGTAAGTTTTACTTCATTCTATTCTTAATTCTTTCTTTAACATGCCTATAATAATTTCTTATCTCATTTAATTTGATTTGGCTCATTTATACTTCTACAAAATAAATAGAAGTCACTTCTATAAAAATGTAGCATGAAGACTAAATCTTTTACTACCTTTTTATCTTTTATTCTTATTTTTTTACTACATCTTTTTTCTAGGTTCTTTTATAATAACATCCATATTTTTATTTTTTACTATACAGTCGTATTACCAAATGACATTGATTATAATTTATAAGCAAGAGCTTTTTTTTTTTCTCTTATAATTTCTCTTTCATTTATAGAAATATTCTTTATTTCCTTTTAATGCATAGAATTCTTTTTTTGTTATGATTTCTCTTGTCTTGTAGTTTTTTTTTATGGCCCTTCATTATTTTTATCCCTCCTCTATTGATGCTTCATGTTAAAAAATTAGAGATTACAAGATACCTTATCTGTTTGAAGATTCATATTTTTTAATATAAAATAATTCTAAAATAACAAGATTAGATGGAAATTTTATAATATTAAATATTATCAAACTTTCACAATATTTTACAATTCCTTCTATTAGTAGGATTTTATAAGTGATATCTCTAAAAGATCAATTTCTTTAATCCATAACTCTTACATGCACATATTTGATTTTTTATACTACCAATATCTTATAATATTTATCAAAAAAATTATTAATAAATTAAAAAAATATACTAGAATCCAACAAAATATATGTATAAATTTTTATAAAATTTTTATACTTATATTTTTAAATTATATTTCAAATAAATTTGTATTAAAAAAATAAGAAAAAAATTCAAAGTTATATGGAACCTTTAAAAGATGATATAATATAAGAATATAGTTACAATGCTCATAATATTGATGGAAAAACTTATTTACTAATATTATATATATATACATATACTTTTTTTATAATTTTTTTCTTTTTATAATAATATTAAGCAATACTTTTTATTTTCTTCAATATAATTACAATCTCTCTTGTAAAAATCAAGTTTACTCTTCTGATGTAAGAGATTTGAAGTGTATAATATCACTTTACATATATTCTATATTTGATTGTATTTCTTAATTATTAGAAGTATATGTAGTTAAAGTAATAAAGCAATGAGGTATGTAAGTACAACCAATAGTGAATTGGCTTATTTAGTTCAACCTTTTATTGTTGTCATCATCCTCGCTTACTTATAGTGATAACTTATTTAATTGTGACTTTTGTATATAGCTTTGATTTCTCTTGTTATTCTCTCACATTACTTAGAATTAGATCTTAAAACATTAAAAAAAGATAGACCTTAATATTAAAGCTCTATAGGAGCAAAGATCTTAAGTTTTGATATTAAAACAAAAAGGCATTCCATTTAATAGAGGTGGTATATTGCCTTCAAAGTTTTGGTAGTTCTATTGTGGAAGACTCTTCCTTGTTGCTCACAACTTGAATTGCAATGCAAATTATATTTCAAAAGAGCTTGTAAAGTTTAACTATAAAAGAATCAAGAAACATTGATTTAAATATTTAAACAAGATAGTGGCGCTTGTTTTTGTAGAAAGATTCTATTGCCTCTATTGACTTAAAGTTGTTGATTGAGAATAGAACTTTGAAAAGACAAATTAAGAGACATGAGGTGAGTTAGGAGCTCTTCCTTTAGAAGAATGTGCCATTTAAAGTTAAGTTTTGAATAAGCTCAAGTTCACTAAAAGATAATTTAGGACAAGAAAGTGCCATCTTGTTTTATAGATGAGAATAAATTGCTTTTATTGCTCTAATAGTTCTACTTTAAAAGGCTATTCTTTATTATTCATAATTTGGATTGCAAAAATAAATTATTTTATTCAAGAACCTGTAAAATCTAATTTTAAGAGATAAATTGACTTTAAATCTGCAATAATGGGGTGACATATGTTTTTGTATAAGGAAGTTTGTTGCCTTGCCAAATTTAAGCATCAGTTTTCAGGGGCGAAATTAGAAACATTAAGATAAATTTGAAGTAAAAAATTAGAAGGTTGATGCAACTTAAAGTTATGCTTTCAATAAAACCAACTTAATTTCATTTAAAGTTTTGTATCAATTGTTAGATGTGATTCTATGAACAAGAATACAACCATATGATTTCAAGGTGCCAATCTTCTTTCTCTTTGATGATTTTTAACATATATAATTTAAATAAAATATTTCAATATATATTTTTATATTATTTAATTAAGTTAATATTTTCCAATTATTATACAACATTTTAATGTAGATGATATAATTGACATTATTTATATCCTCTAACTAGAAATAAAATATACTTTGATATTACATACTATCTTTGCATATTTACAACATTTTTTTTCTTTTAAATAAATAAATGTTAATGCACATAATATTGTATATTTTTAAAATCTTTTTATGAACCTTTTTTAATCCAATATAGTTGTAAAGAGCAAAAACATCTTACTTGCCAAAACAAACATCGTAACAAAATACAATTCCAACTTTGATAAAATATTATTTAAATATTTTAAATAAATATTACATAGAATTGATACTAATCTTGAAGATATAATTATATCAATCAAATTTTCTTGACTATCAATTGTCGAGACACGGTAAGTTGGTAGTAAGATTTTATGAAGGGTCTAGAAGACACCCAACGGAATTAACACCTTGAGGGTAGCGAGGGATGATTGGAACATTCACTGATAAGTAACAGATTGGCACAAAATTCCAAACCATCCACCGAAGAGTTTCCAAGAATTTTGAATCTTGTCTTCTAACTGATCTATGCTGCTGTGTTAGTCACTGTTTTGCGGTGAATCACATGGTTCCACCATTGAAATTATCTACTGAAATATTCCCTTCTTCCCGATTCTCGATCCTTGCGTTTGTCACTCTCTCTCCACCGAGCTCTTCATTCCTGGCTCTCGCTTCTTCTTCTTCTTCTTCTTCTTCTTCTTTCCACGCCCTTCCTGCCTCCGAATTGTCCTTTTTGGAGCGACTCCCACTGTGGCTGCATGCTTGGGCCAGGAGGACCACACGCGACCAGGCAATTTCGTGTTTGAGCCGCTTCATCCTGATGATTCCATGTTGTGTGTGTGTGGATATTGACTTGTTGTCCGGGCAGAATCTACTGATCGCAGAGTGTGGTTTATCAGCCAAGTAGTGTACTACTGCGAATAGCGACAGCTCAAGCGTATGTTAGCTCATTTGTGGTTATCCATGGTATGAATCGTCGTGCACGTGAGAATCGATCCGAGAAGTACTTTTAGGAAATGAGTTCAACGCAGATGCAACTGGCCTTCCACAACCCGAAGAAGAAGGTACTAGAAGTCTTAATTCGATGTTGCGAAAGGTCGTCATTCATGTGTCTAGTGGAGAGGCTGAGACTGCCGAATCAAGTTGGATTTATGATGTTTTTATGATCTAAAATCAAATTATTAAGCTGCTATGTCTCAAAGTATGAATCTTTCCAACTGTAACCATGCGTTTCGTCATCATAAACAAGGTTTAAGTCATGTTTAAGGTGTTACGATATTGGAATCGCAATGCAGCTTCAGACCGAGATGAAAGCCGGAAAATTGATTACATTAGTTTGCTTGTCTTCCTTTTGATGTGAAATCATGTCCCGAAATCTACAGGACACGTTCTGAGAAGCAGATTCAACTAATCATTGAACTTCTGCCGCATACATACATATGGGTAGAAGACGAGCGTTTAACTAAATTTATTGTAGATCTTGGAGGATTCTTCTTTCCTCCTTCACTATACCGTCACTGTTTGAGAATTAAGACAAATTAGCTTGATTTTGCACCACTCCGATCATTGATACTCATTGTAGCTAAGAATGTTATTTTAGAGGTGCAAAGGAATGCAGTCTTGGACCAGCCTAACTCTCACATGCGTTGGTCGTACCCTAAACCTGTTTTCAGAAGGTCAAAAGTGTAAAGAGGGGTACTGATTGCTCTCATCCAAAGAGGCTCTTCTCACAAACTCTGTGTTTCGAAAGGTGCGAACGCTGAAAAGCAAACAGACTTTATGACCTAGTGGGTACCAGCACAAACCTTGACACTGATCTAAACCTAAGCCAGGGAGTTTTGCCTAGAAGCCGCAGATGGGTCCTGAAGCTACTCTGCGGAGGTGCACTGACAGTGCAAAAAGCTTCAATATTGACATACATGGCACCCGTAACGAAGAAGAAAAAGAACAAGGAGCAGTAAGAGCATGTTGAACGAGAGATCTATTTACAGTTTAAAGAATATTCCCATTCGTTCGAGATAAAGGGTCCTCAGTCTCTGCAAGACATGCACTGCTCGTTGGTTGATGCAAGTGTCGTGATCCGCCAGTGCTTGCTTCAGTTTAAACGCCTCTTCATACTGAGAAGCTTCAGAACAAGGCTTCGAAGTCAGTTGCAAGTCGTTGAATAACTTCTATCACTACTATTTCACCTCCACAGTACAATGTATTGAATTGATCGGAATGTAACAAAACGAAAAGGAGAAACGAAAAAATGATCACGATGGGCAAACTCCGACCTGCTCTGACTCCACGGCAGATTTTAGGGCTGCTTGCAATCGTGCTTGATTCCCAACAATGACGTGCATGCTCTTAGACAGCCCAGCCAACCACTCAACATCGCCGTCTTGGTCGCGTGCTGCATGAGTAATCCACCTTCATAAGTGGAGTATGTAACAGATGAAAGTGACAAGGATCCTTCAAAGCAACGTTAATCCACAGACAAGCCAGAACAGACGGAAGAGATTGAAAGTCTCCAGATGCAGAAAATAAAAGCAAGACCTGTAAAGTGTACGCAGACTGAAAGTTACAAAAGCAGAAAGAGCAAGAGTGTTGAGTCTGCACATTTCGATTACAAACCGCGACGGACGTACTCACCTAAAGGATTGATAAGCATGCGATCAATAAAGTCTTTGTTGGCTGATAACAATGCCTCCAACATCACGAAGAATGGCTGTCGGTACCGCAAAGCTACTGCAATCGCCTGAGACAACCTTAAAGCCAAAGTCAGTACTGATATCCAACCTAGTAGTTGATGGAAATCACAACATATGAAAAGTAAGCACGGCCTGCAAAAGAAGAATAACCTGCAACTCAAAGATTTGCAAAAAGTCAATATGAAGAAGGTTTTAGTAGGCAAGACCATCACCTGCGGAAATGTGGAAGCCACTACAGACCTCACCCCCGTTCTCTCATCCAAAACTACGAAGTCACCACCTCTTTTAACACTAGTGAAGGAGTTGACATATATTCTCTGCAAATCAAGATCGCTCAAGTTGCCCAGGTCCTCAAGCGCTGCGTTCACAGCAATGACCGTGAACTATGTGAGACCAGCGAATGCATGATATGAAAAATTCATGATCAGAACTGATCACAGCCTCTTCAAAACAAACCTCACAAGAACTAAACGCATTCTCATACGAATGTGTACCATGAGGAAGCCCCCCCTTCTCGACAGCAGCCCTGATGGGTGACGCAGCAAGGGCATTAAGAAAGAGAGGAAACTCCAAGTTCTGAACAGAGGAGCAACCCTTGGTGATTGGAACACACGTTAAGCCTATGATACAACCTGCAATAGAGGGATGCCAGTTAGTGCTCTGTATGCTCATTGTCAACACCTTGAGCTACAGGATACTGCAAAAAGAAAAGTACAAACTAGGAAAGCTCAAATCACGGAAGTCGAGTGCCGTGATCACTCGCCACACACAAAGTCACAATGCCAAGAAGGTTGAATAGGGTTGGTGACATTGCGGTCTCCCAGTGAAGACTGCGCTAACAGCTGAAGTATTTCTACTGAGAGATGTATTCAGGAATCGGATATTGGTGTAAGACTTGGAACAATTGCACCGGGTTAAAAAAAAGAAAATAAAAGAAAATAAAAAAAACATGACGATTAAGTCAATCCATAGATGCCTCAAAGTTACTGACCACAACCAAAGAAAACCCTCACAACAAAATTGAGGATTCCCACCGTCCATTCCTCCAGCAATCTGACAACGAATAACCTAGTGAGGAGAGAATGCCATCAAACCTCGGAACGAAATAAGAAACCTACTTACCATTATCCACATTGTGCATGGACGAAGCCACGACGTGCAGGTATCTGCTGCCGTCCTCGGCCAATTCAAGACACGAGGCCAACCCCAACTCCGCATCATCCACGCCCTCCCCAGCTCGGACCTCGTGCTTACCTTCACTTCCAACGTTGGCACGCACAGCTGCTCTCCTATACTGGCTGGAAACTGAGTTGCACCGGCCATCGTTGAAAATTCCGACATCTCTCTGTCCCAATCTGAATGCACTGATAGCGGCATTTGTTGTCTGTTGCACAACAGACCAATGCCCATGAAGAAGAGCGCCGGCTGAGGGCGGGGGGGCTGCAACTGAGACAAGAAGAGCCTCTACCGCCATGGCTGGAGTTGAACTGTAAGCGGACTTCAGCTGAGAGCCCATCTCGCGAGTCGCGACTCCTTGTTCAGAGACTCATCCACAATCCACAGTAAATAATTTTTAATTTTTTACCCTCGTGTGAAATTTTTATTTTTTTGCATTTTCTTATCCAAACTTTGATTCTGGTTCTTAGTTCGAAGCCAAAGAGAACAGTGCACGACCAACTCTCAAAGAAGTACATCACTCGGAGTAAAATTATCAGTAGAATTTTCTATCTCTTTGTTGTTGTCGACGAGACGCCACTCAATGAGAAAACTGTTGTCCTCCGCGACCTGCGTTTGAAGATTGGGCTTTCCCTCTCTCCACTCGAATTGTACACGACCCTTACCCTGTGCGAAACTCCACCAAGATCCAACCGACGCCCTAGTCCAATAGAAACCACCATTACACGATAGATGCTTCATCCCGCTCGTGACCCGATGCACTCCTGCCCCAAGTAGATTTCTAGCGCGGAGAACAAACCTGGGCCCTCCAACGAGGCATCAGAATGGGCAGAGAGCGGAAAGAGGGGTGTCACTCTGTGGGGGCACCCAGAGGGGGGCCGATTCATGACAATTCGTTGAGCTCCCTCTCCTCTACACCAAACCCGGTACAGACCGTCTCTGCTGAATCGCCAAGTGTATGGTGCTGCACGCTATCACTGCTGGCCATCCATCACAGAAAAAGAAAAAGAAACTAAAAGCAGCCTGGGTCCTTCGGCATCTGCCTGCGGCGTGGCGGAAACACATGTGGGTGAAATTCGTGACAAATGGGTGAAAATTTTGATGCGAAAGCAGCAAAAGGGTGGCGTGTCGGAGCAGGATTGAGGTTTGAGAGGGGGAGCTGGGTAGGGGGAATGGTGGGGGGTGACGGCAGTGAGTGGGCAGCAGCAGTGACGGAGCGAGGCATAATTCCATGGCCAGGCCTCGTTCGATGGCCATGGCCATGCATTTCACCTCTCGCAGATGCAACTAGTCGTGAGAATTTGCGAGAAGCGCGGCGTCGCGGCGCCCGAGGAACGGAGCTTTTGTAGCTTTCCATGCTTTGACTTTCTGACTCTCGGGACCCATTCTTCTCGTGACCCGATGCACTCCTGCCCCAAGTGGACCTCAACAATTCATCCATCCAATATTCATCATTTCGTCTGCTACGTTCATCCATTTATTCATCCATCCTTCCCCAGTTGCTCTCCTTCATCCATTCTCGTGCTTCACTCTCCTTTACTTCGTTCATTCATCCTTGCGCACTGCAGACCTCGACTTCATTCATCCTTTTCTTCATTCAAATCACTGATATTATTTGAGTGTGTGTAGACACTCATATTTACATACAAAATACAAAAATAAAAATACAAAAATATTTATTCTTGAGACATGTTCAGTCCTCTTTAAATTATAGGTTTTTCTTGAAAAAATGCTAATTTTCCTAGAATAAGCTTAACAAGATGCCTTAAAATAAGGGCACAATAATATTCCTTTGGGGGGAGAGGTGCCACATAAAGTGATTTGTGCAAAGGAATATTAATCGGTAGTCATGTTGGGATATGCATGTCAAATTCACCATTGGTAAAGGACTTGTAAATCCCTTGGAAATCCTCTATGGAGATGAAGTTCAACCTTGTGCCGAATCCACAAGATGATAACATTGATCTAATACTATCAGCATAGTGTTTGTTCTATGAGAAGCTTGGCCACAAAGAGGTTGATCTCACAAGGCCTAAGAAGAGGTGGACGATGAATGAGAAAACATTTTCAACTCTTTTTTACGTAGATAACATCACAACTTCATATGAAGTTGCAACAATCCAAAGCATAGACTGAGTATACTACTTTCCTACATATATTAAAGAAGTAATTCTTTGACCACGTGAATTTCAAAAACAATCTTGCAGCTTATTTTGAGATTGAGATGGCAGTCATATTTGTAATCAATCGAGATATTGTGGATGTGGTTATTCGTAACATGTTATTCAATATGAATGATAAGGATTTTGTGCCGACTTATGAATAGGCATTGTCAATTTTTAAGTTGTTTGAAGATGCAAACAATGACCAAGTTAAGCTCAATAGATAGCAAGATTTGAACGGGAAAGCATAGAAGGCAGAAATTATTTTTTGTGATTGTTTCATCTTATGATTGGCTTTATCTCATGTAGAGCCTTGTTCCAAATAGTAGCATACCTTGTGGATGTCATGAAGACCATGTCACACATGGGCTCCTTCAGTAGGTATAATAATGATCATGTAGCTTTATTTGTGAAGATGATTTGTATTGTGAGCTTACAAAAAATTACCGAACTCCTCCATATACAATGAGAATTTTCGCTTGCTCTTGATATTGGCTCAAAGCAAGGTACCTCTGACCTTAACTTCCCAATTTAATTCGAGCATTAATTAAAGTTGCACAACCTCCACCTTCTTATCATTCTACTTTTCAATCACAAGACAATTAAAGTAATCTTCTCTACAAGTTCAAAACTTTTAGATGTCATTCCATATTGGAGGATATAACTAATTGGAATTAGCATGGATGGCAAGTGGATGATAATTAGGCAAATTTTTTGCAATGCAAAAAAGATCGTCGAGGCAATTGGTGATTGAGTTATACAAGTGTAGTGTATTATGTACCAACTTAATCATGTAGTCTAAGCCAAATACGTCAAGCTATATGACAATTAATTTGTCAACATCTTGATAAATTTTGTCTCTCACCTTCGTTAGTAGTATAACTTCATCAAGAGGATGGTTTGTATATGCTCAAAATTTGTGGACATATGGTGGTCGTCCATGAAAAAATTGAAATAAGGGCAAGTAATGATCTATGAGTACCTCACCTAGAAGCTACTCACATGTATTCTTCCTTCTTCTTCGTGGGTGGTATTGCTTGCACTTAACAATGTTGCAAAGATACTCTCCACTGTTGTGACATGCTTGCAAGGACTAAGCATTCTTTCAAATCAAAAGAAAGTCCAACTTGAAGGCTTGATTTAGTCCTTGGTGGATTTGTGCAAAGTGCAAAGTTTGCACAATGTTGACACTTTGGTCATATCTTATGGCATCTCAAATTTGGTCATCTATGGATCTTGGTATGTAGCTCACACTAGTGCAGAGGCTTTTGTTCAAGATCAAGGCATCTTTGTGATGATCCTATGGATGTCTCTATTATGCATTTCTATTTGTCAATACAAACTATGATTAGAATCGATTGGACGGGATGTTCAATATATTGAAGATATTAAGAATGACCATTAAACTATGGTATACACCTACCGTGAGAAGATGACCTTCAAGGACGTCGTTGACAAGTGCTTCAATTTGCAAGTAGAATTTAATGTCATATAGACTTATTGTGATGGCTGATTACCACAACTTCAAAAATTTTGTGACAAGCTTGCCTCTATTTTTTCTAATATAAATACTATTGAATCCAACTTCTTCGTGATCAAGTGAGAGAAGGATGAGTATCAATAATACCTCATGGACTTCTCGCTCAAGAGTATCCAACATTCTAAACAATTTGACATAGTTTGTTGAATTTTGTTGAAGATGGATGTTTTTAGATAGCTATGTAAATAGATTTCATTCATTCTTAATTAACCTAAAATAAAACTTAGCCATGATCCTAAAATAAGCTAAATTAGGTATTTCAAAGAAAGTCCTAATTTAAAGAAGCCATGACAGGCTTGAACTTCATTACACATGTCAATAGAACCAAATGAACAAATGAGCAATAAAATGAAAGAACTCTATCACTTTCACTGGCCACAATGATAATCAACTGGAGCAGCAACTAGAGTTAAAGAAGACATCTCTAAAACAAGATACTATCAAACAAAGTTTAACACACAAAAAAAAAATGCTTCTGTAAGAATTTCAATTATAGAATTTACATGCAGTTCACAATTAGCATCTCCAAGGATAAGAATAAAGTCAAATCATAAAAATATGAAAAAACTTAAAATAAAATAATATAAAAAAAAACTGCAACAAATAATGACCCAACTGAAGTTCTCAAATCACTGTTTCTTATGTTCAACAACACAAATATCCACAACAAGTACAGAAATTGAGACATGAGAAAGTGGGTCCCCTGATGGCATCCAATGCTGCATTCACTATGTATAATACACCAAAGAATGATGAATGAATGTATGGTACATTGCATTGTCACTCACTCACTTCACTTACATTTGTGGGGGGAGGATCATAATATCTCCTTATGGAACAACTGTGTTGTTGGTGTCACTCATCATGCATTCCTCCATGATTTGATTGCATTGGTCACATTCAAGCATAATGCTTGCACACGGAAATTGACCTTAAATCCCCCCTTATTTTCATTTGCTTGGGAACTCAATAAGGAAAAAGATGAACTTGGAAAGAAGCAAAAGCTGCATCCCCTCCATGGTGTGTGGAGCACCAGAACAATAAAAGAAGAGGGGGCAGGAGTTGCACGCATTGCAGCTTGTCTGTGGAGCAGGCGGCGGCGGCGGCGACGGCTTGCGGTATTTGGGTTCGAAAAGAATCATGGGACCGCAGCCGCGTCATGGAAAAAGGCACCACCTGCTCAGATCGGTCCCACGGCTGCTGCTGCTGCGGCTGCTTCTACAACAGCACTGCGTAGAAGAGTGTGCGAGAGTGTGCAGTTGGAAAGTGTGAGTTGGGTGGATACGGAGAACCGTGATGCTGAGCAGGCAAGGGAAAGGGAAGGAGAGAATGAGAAAAAGGGGAAACTGGAACTCGGTTGTGTGACCGTCGGTGCACTGGTTGCGATGAACGGGAGAGAGCTGTACCTAACGTGGAGTTAACGTGCATTGGGAATGGCGATGCTGTAATGAATGAAATGGGTGATTGCGTTGAGATGGCTGTGTGTGTGCGCGCGTTTTGTGGCCCCCACTTGGAGGATAAAATGAGAATTCTGAAGGGCTAAGTGGACATCGCACAGAAAAAGGGGCAAAACTGGGAGGGGAGGGGGAGAGATACTGGTGAGTTGGAGGAGCGGCTTCTCGCTGAAGGGCTCTATCGCGGGTGAAAAAACAAATGGAAGTGACACTGGCCGCCGTGCGATGAAGCCTCGAGCGCTGCTGCTGCCGATCTAGTGGGGTCCGGATCTCGGACGCCGGTTATCGTGTGGGGGAGGCTTGAAAGTGGAGCATGCTCCTGACGAAGAAGGCGGCAGCCGCAGCAAAGATCGCTCATTGATTTCACTACGTTGTAGAGGGGGAGGCATTAACCACGACGAGCAACACGTAGAATCCTGAAGCAACTGTGTCTCGTTTCCTCGGTTTTCACACGGCCACCGTCAGATTGTCCCCGGCAGCTTCACACCCGTGGCCTGTGCCGGAAATTTGCAAGCATTTGTGGGCGTGGGACGTGCAAATTGCGAGCTGTCTGGGCGCCGCCAAGAGAGACCTGTGGGTGCATGTTAAGGGCTGTGCGAGGGTAGGCAGGCAGATGGTTGATGTCGCGAGGTAGGTGAGGGTGAGAGATTGTGGGTGTAAGGTGGAGGAATGGCACTGTGACACACGGCTGATTTTTGAAGAAACGAGCTCCGGGTGAAAAATGAAAATGAGTTGCGGTGCAGGATGTGGAAGCGTTCGTCAGACAGCATGAGAAGATTTGTGTGCCCAGGTAGGTGGCTGCAGTCTCAAAGTTTCGATGTTCCTGTCCTTTACTTGTCGCTATCGTCGTGCCCGTTGTAACGCTGTAAGAAGGTCGAACGGTAGTTTTCTCTTCAGAATGTTCTGGGCGCGGACGTGTTTTGGATGAACTGTTGTCAGACGCCAGCACCATTACGCTGGAAGAGAATCGTAGTTTCTGGAGTATTTGCGCCTTCTCCTACGAATGCTGGCATTAATCATGTTTGGTACTCGTTCTCGAATTTTGTCTTCGTGCTGTCTAGCCTGCTCCCCTCCTGCCGTTCAGTCAGTCGAGCGCTTTTTTGGGTTCTTGTTTGTTGAGGATGGAATGTGAGACTTCTTGCCAAGGTAGCTGTTGTAGAGAGGTGGTTGCAGGCTCATACAATTCTCGACGCGGCCTTTGTGCAACTAGATCGTGCCTTGTATCAATTGTTTGATTCGGGCGCTGGTCGTGGGTCGTCGATGCTTCTCTTCTGCTTTGGGGATGACAAGTGAATCGGCAGAATCTTGAACCGCTTTGCTTCTCCTGCTTCGCGAAGGCTATTTGTTGTGAAAACCACTTAGCTATTTCTATTGTTTGTGCAGACTCTTTTTATTGTATGTTAGGGAAGGAAAGATATCGCGAAACCAGCGCAAGACTGAGAAGGGTGAAAGTTAGATAGGTTACTTACGTACAAGCAAACATGACTACCGCGACACCAAGTATCCCGGCTACGAACGTGGAGCGCACGCGGGTCGGCAAATATGATCTCGGCAAGACCCTGGGAGAGGGCACATTTGCCAAAGTCAAGGTGGCTAAGCACATCGACACTGGCCATACTGTTGCCATAAAGATTTTGGACAAGGACAAGATTCTCAAGCATAAGATGGTTGAGCAGATCAAAAGAGAAATATCTACCATGAAGCTAGTGAAGCACCCTTACGTCGTCCAGCTGTTGGAAGTAAGTATGAATTTTAATTAGATCGTGCTCTTCATTCAACGTTCACATTTTTGAAATACCTCCTGCCCACCTCTAGTCGCTTTGCTAATCGGCAATTATACATATTAGGGTTTAATGATTGGAGCTCTCCATGACAGGTTATGGCCAGCAGGACAAAAATCTATATTGTGCTGGAGTATGTTACAGGTGGCGAACTTTTCAACAAGATTGTAAGTTGCTCTACGAAAACGTTGCTTAGATGAGTTTCCTGTGCGTCATTGAGATTAGTGTTGACTTTGATCTTGAGCAAAGATTGATTTTTTGGGCGACTTATTGATTTCTTTCTTACCCATCACGAAGCATTTGTCTGTGCTTTGTCTTTTTGGCTGATAGTTTACATTTTTGGGCCGTTTCAGGCTCAACAAGGAAGGCTGTCAGAGGACGACGCAAGGAAATACTTTCAGCAGCTCATTGATGCAGTTGATTATTGCCACAGCCGGCAAGTTTTTCATAGAGATTTGAAGGTAAGCATACGAGGAGTTCATTTCTTCATATGAATTATTGCATGATGATGGCACTCTTGCGTCTGGTTTCTGTTGACTGATAGTTTTCTTAAACAGAACGAGAAAATAACGGAAGGGAGAACGGAAGATGAACAATCTGTCCCTTTTATTGCTTTTTTAACCTAATAATTTCATTTGGATTGTTCACAGCCAGAGAATCTCCTTCTGGATGCGAAGGGGAGCTTGAAAATTTCGGACTTTGGTTTGAGTGCGCTACCGCAGCAATTTAGGGCTGATGGATTATTACACACAACTTGCGGAACACCCAATTATGTGGCTCCTGAGGTGATTATGGATAAGGGATATTCGGGCGCTACTGCTGATTTGTGGTCTTGCGGTGTCATCTTATACGTGCTGATGGCTGGGTACTTGCCTTTTGAGGAGCCCACTATTATGGCTTTGTACAAGAAGGTGTGCTTCCACTTTTGATTTTGTGGTTTAATGTCAGAATGTTATGGAGTACATACATGGGAAACTTTGCTTCTTTTTAATTTTCATTAATTAATTTATTTATCATACTTATTTTTTGGGGTTGGTCTTTCATGCCGTCCTGAATATTGTTCGTGTATGTATGCAGATATATCGGGCTCAATTCTCATGGCCTCCCTGGTTCCCGTCAGGTGCCCGGAAATTAATTTCAAAGATATTGGATCCCAACCCTAGAACTGTAAGTGACAGGATTAAAAAAATACAGTTGTGTTTTTCTTCCGACCTTAGTGCTTCATACCATAGTCTTTGGAGATTTTTCATCTACAGATGTGTTGAACCTTATCTGTCTCTGAATGTGGTTGCAGCGCATCTCAGCAGCTGAAATTTATAAAAATGATTGGTTCAAGAAGGGATACACTCCAGCTCAGTTTGACCGAGAAGCTGATGTCAACCTTGATGATGTGAATGCTATCTTCAGCGGTTCACAAGTATGAGGACATATCATTTGTATGCTCTGCTAGTGAAAGAAATTGGCTTCTAGTGAACTTGTCAATTATGTATTCCGTAATCCTCTGCCCCTTGGAAAGTCTCTAGTTTGAACCGATCGAAAGAAGCACTGTTGGTGTTAGCAGAAGTGATGTTTCCCTTCTAATGTACTCTGTACTGCATTTGAACTTCAGGAACATATAGTTGTAGAAAGGAAGGAATCAAAACCGGTTACTATGAACGCTTTTGAGCTCATCTCTTTGTCTTCGGGCCTCAATCTTTCTAGTTTGTTTGAGACAAAAGAGGTAACAACTTTTAGTGCAGAATTGATTATTCGTTGAATTGGGCACTTTCAATTCATGCTGGCAGGGATTACCAATGACGGGTATACTCTGATTGTAGTTGGGTTTAAATTTATTTTGCGGTGACCAGTTTCTACGCTGATTACTTGGGTTTATAGCAGTTGTTTTTTCTGGCGACGTGGTGTAATCCTTATTTAAGCTTGTTTGGTGGCCTTGTTTCACAGATTCCTGAAAAGGAGGACACGCGGTTTACAAGCAAGAAATCTGCCAAAGAGATCATCAGTTCAATCGAGGAAGCTGCGAAGCCCTTGGGCTTTAATGTTCAGAAGCGAGATTATAAGATGAAGTTACAAGGAGACAAGCTGGGCAGGAAGGGACATCTTTCAGTCTCAACCGAGGTGTTCGAGGTGGCGCCTTCTCTTTACATGGTTGAGTTACAGAAGAACAGTGGTGATACATTGGAGTATAACCATGTAAGATTCCATGTAGTGCACTTTCTGTGCTTTGATCAGCAAATTGCTCGATGCATGTGCTAGTTGTAGAATCTCTGAGATCACAGCTTTCTTAATTATGCATGGTTCTCAAAACGTTAGCCTCTTGTGAGCAGTATTGCAAGTTATTTTTGATCATCTCTCAGTTTACGTCACCACTGCTGATCACTTTTTTGTTATCTTACTCTTGCAGTTTTACAAGAATCTTTCCAAGGGCCTAAAAGACATAGTGTGGAAAGCAGACCCTCTTCCTGCATGTGAACAAAAGTAGACGCTTCCGCTACGGCTTCAAAATAAGCCCGTGCCGTGAAGTACCCACATCTCCTCACTTGGCATCTCAGTGCATCTCCGCCGATGTGGCAACTGGATCATACAGCTCTGTTGGACTTCGTGCACTCTTTAAACTTCTCAATTGGTAAATACCACTCGAAGTGTTGAGTCTGTCTTGTACATATATATGATCGAATGATTCAGAAAAAGCTTTGCTCAGCTAGGCTACAAGTTCAATGTAGAGATGTAAGCTGAAGATTACTCAGAGTAAGTCCTGGAAAGGAGAAGGTGGTAAACGATTCTTAGTTTTCAGGACCCATGGTAGGCAGAATTCTCAGATGGTTAGGCTGATTTTTTCTCTGAGTCTTTTGAAGTAGGTTAGATGTCCTTAAAGATGTGGTAACAATGTAATCTCAATCCTTTGACCCTGTAACCTATTATTTTTGGAAGGGCAATTCATTTTATTTCATCCAAGTTCGCCTCATTTAATTAAGTTATATCTGATTTCATCTGAAGCTATTCAGAGTAGGCATGCTACTCTGAATGGGAATGCTACTCCTTTGCAAAAAACTTTAAACACCCATGTACTTTAAAAAAGTGAATTTCTTATCCTCAGACATGTAGTCTCTTAAACTTCATTGCCCATTCAACTAGCCTCATGGTGTACGAAAGACGATGATGTGGTAGAATGTGCAGGAACTTGCTGATCTCTAAATATCTGTATTTCAGTTTTTTATTTGCAATGAACTATATTACCTCACGAATACCAAAATCAACACTACAAAGACTAGTCTTTTTTGTGTAGTTCTTCAATAGTGTTTTGCAAATATTAATTATGAATACATGAACGAGAAATTATGACAAACAACTTATTCATGTTTGTCTCTACAACTTTTTAATTGCTGGTTGCTTTCAACGTAAACTTTTAGAGCAATAAGTTGTAACAAAATTGTTTACTTAAAACAACTTTTTATGTAAATTTGTGTCGGTATTAGAATTGACATTATGCGAATAAATTTCCGAGTAAACTATGATTATTAGCAAAAGGTTAATGTATATCACAAGAATCATTTAAAATTTACACTCTAAAATCAAAAACATCAATACCCTGAAGACAGATACAATAATTCTAAAAACTATTATTATTGTTATTGTGTTATAGTAAAGTATTTTAAAATACTCATTGAATATACGTTGAAAATACATTAAAGGCAATAAAAATATCATTATTTGATGTAGATTCAAAAAATTGAAAGTTGTACAATTATGATTAAAGGAATTATTTTCTTATTGTAAATAACATTATTAATTTTCGGATTAATTAAAAAAGCTATTCCGCAAATCAATTTAAAAAGAATCTTAGTTTTGATTATTTATTTTACTGAGATAAAATTGGTCCTCAATCTTAGATTTAATTAGAATTCATGTTTTTGATATCCATACTGACAAGGAGAATAATATACTTATTCTAGTGTGATTTATTTGAACTTGAAGAATTATTTGTATTGCACTACTCACAATACAAATTCTAAATACGTACAATACGGGCATTTAGTATAACATTTAATTATGATATTTTCATTCTTACGTCTGATTTGTTGTCACAACTCTTTAAAAAAAATATTTCATGTTTTTTATAATTTAATATTTACATCTTTAAAACTAGAACATTAACTTCATTTTTATGGATAAGAGTTCCAAATAAAATCTTTAAAATCATGTTATTTTTTAAATTGTGTTTTTTAAGTCATACAAATTATATCGTATTTGATATGAAAGACAAACAACAAACATATAAACAGAGGACATAAACAAGTCCTTTTCTTGGTCAGAATTTATATTTTATATTTTATCTTGATAAAGTAAAATATAAAATTGGATTTAGAAGAGATTTTTGCAAAAAAATTTGAACAATAATTAAAGCTCATGTCGAGTAAATAGAATATCTACCATAAGTGGGACATCAACAAGAACTATTTAAATATAAAAGACTTAAACAATGGAGCAATAAACGTTTTTTTTTTTTTTTGTGTTTCAGCAATAAAGAAAGAAAAAAAAATACATGTATGAAACAATAAACAATATAATAACAGGAGATAAATGGACAAACAAATTTGTAAGGTTTTTATTGTTAGATACGAGTGTGCAAACTGTTACACACACACACACACACACACATATATATATATATATATATATATATATATAGAGAGAGAGAGAGAGAGAGAAATATATGTATTAATGCCAAGACTGAAAATTAATTTTATTTGAATGCGGGTTTTGTTAAGACTCCTACCCACTTGCATTTAAGACCATGGCTATGCATTTAGCTCTGAGACGTTAACAAGGAGCAAATAAGTAGAGAGTGTGTGTGTGTTTGTGCGTGTTTGTTTGTGTGAGTGTGTTTGTGTGTGTTTGTTTATATGAGCAAGTATGTGTGTGTGTATGTGTGTATACAGAGAGACGGCGTGGGATTCCGTCTGTTCACTGCATTCATGGCTCACGAGATATGCAGGTGCTGGATTGTTATTCCCCTTCAGTCTGAGTGCGTGTACAGCAGATGGGCAGCTGGGTTCCAACGAAGCATCAACACGCCTGCACAATACCTGATCAGACCTTAGCTGCGATGTGAAGGAAATTCCCCAAAAAGAAAACAATCAAGGTGATGTGTTTGACGTTGTCGCTGGTCGGAGGACATGAACTGGACCTCGTCGCATTGGACTCTGTAAGGAAGATAAAAAAGAACTGTTTGCTTCACTGTGTCCCTGATGAACTCTAGTGCCTGGTTGTGGCACTTGTGCTCTGATGCTCTCAACCGAGGACTCTGTCTGCGATTGGACCGAAACTGCAGTTCAAGTTGACGTTGTAGTTTCTGACTGGTTCCTATGTCTTGTTCTTGTACCTTGAACACAAGCGTTACATGACCTTACTGGAATCCTAGGAAGGACGGTGCCAACATGATTTTGTTGAAGTGATTGGGAAGGAAGGGCTGTTTGTGTGACAACAACAAAACAACCCAAAAATTGCAGAGAGAGAGAGAGAGAGAGAGAGAGAGAGAGAGAGAGAAAAAGCGAGCGAGGACGAGGTTGTACACGTACAAACTCTACCGTGCCCACGCATGAGTTGCTCCATGTGCCCTGCGAGTGGGTTAACCCTGTGGTGCAAGATGGTCCTCGCAGCAGCAGCAGCACTTTGATGCACAACCTGTCCATCCATCAGTGCGTGGTTGCTTTAACGGTTTCGAACCGTTTGGTAGTGCAACAATGTGGCATATCACAAGACTTAGCATGTGATAAAAAAAACACACAAGAAGAACCAATACATAGTAAGCTGTTTTCACACTTCGATATACTAGACGATTTCTGGAGTCACAGAAGGATGCCAATTCCATGTGATCTCAACAATGTGTAGTGTCGATGAAGAGCCGTCAAGCCCAGGCATTCTACGGATCTCAAGATCAGTTTAAGTACGTATTGAAGGACGGCCTGCCAATGCATACGGCTACTCTGTTGGCAGCGTCGGTCAGGTAACTGCATGTGTTGGGTTTTCCTGTCACTCGTCCCATAGTAAGTATTCGGATGGCAAATAGTACGCTCTGGTTACTTCAATTGATAGTGAAGAGGATTTGTCACAACGTAGCGGCTGGTCAGACACTGGTTCAGAGTCTAGGAAGGCATGAAAGTAACGAAACCGGCGAAAAAATGATGCAAGGCACCGACTTTTCTTCTTCACAAATGGCCGTCATCTCAAATGCTAAGGTCTTCGGCATGATGCCATGGGGGTGAAACGTTAAAAACGATCTGATTTAAGTACTTCGACCTCGATTTGGTGTGGAAATTTGTGCGGCGCTTGCAGAGTGCACTTGGCTGTCATCCCAATTGCAATCCACATGCAACCGCGTCGTTGAGTCTCATAATTTAACAACCAACTTGCGTAGCTTGGTAATTGGAAAATAGAAATTTGAACAAGTCGCATTAGCAGTTCCGTAAGATAGTGTAGCAGGATCTTTTATCAACAACTTTATCTTTTATGTACAACTTGTCGTTGGCGAAACAGCCTCACTACGTCTATATGATGTAACTGCTCCATGCTAACCACATTCGAAGACAGAAATATCAGGCAAAGCATGACCACATATAGTTAGATACAACTCATAAGGGCGCCTATCAACCACGGCTTGATAAGGTCAATATAGAGCAATTCTTTCTTCGAATCACTTGAAATTATATTCCCCATCCTTCACGTCAAAATGCAAAGCAAAAATCATTTCAAAACCTTCACAAGCAGACCCAAGAACGCCTCACCACAATACGTCTCCTCAACCTCCGAACACCGTCTCTTAAACCTTGAAGAAACAACCATCAATCCCTCTTCTCGTGATTATGGGGTTCGAGCCTAGGGTTTTAACTAAATCTGAAAAACGAACAGTAAATTGATATATTTCTGATCCTTCCCGGCTTTCGAACATCTTCAATACTCTTTACAACGTGCCGCAAGTGCAGCTCTGATTTAATCACTACTCCTTGCAGCACTCACCAACGACAGCTCCCGGAAACACTAACAATTAATAATTCTCACCGAAAGCCTCACTTAGTTCACTTCGCAAACCTCCAATCTTGACTCAAACAACGCTAAACGACTCGCTACAGACGCGCCTCCCTCCACACACCCCCCACCTTCAGAAGTAGCACCGAAATCCCAATCCCAAGCTCAACCTTGGCATTCAAGCGCAGGGTTATTGAAACATCTCCAACCATGAACATAGTTGAAGTTTGAAGGAGAATGTTAGTTTTAGCACACACAATACACAGAAAACATAACATAAAATCACGTGAGTTGTACTCTCACCAAGCAATTTACAGATCTATAACATGTGCTGAGAAAAAAACACCACAACGTATTTTCCTCATTTTCATTCTTCATGTTCTAGATAAGAGAAATAACCAAACATCAGCAATATATTGTGACTCATGTGTTTCAACAGCGCAGAGATTGAAAAGACGACTAGTTTGCTGACAGAGATTAAATAGAAACCAAAGTGCAGTAACAGTGAGGCAGACGTGGCAGTGCAAGAAACTCTAAATAATGTGAGAATCCTGTCAAGCTTGTCATGCAATGGAGGTTCGCATCCTCATCCACCCATATCGTCATCCTTCCAATGAACTTTATCTATAAGATGATATTCATACATTTGTGGTGGTGCATGCATCGACACGGAGCGTCGTCCGTCTCGCCGCGCACAGAGTGAGACAGACTTTTCCGCCACGCCGCGTGCATTGAGCACCGTCCGTCGTGGCTGCATGATTTGCCGACCCTCTGTGCTGCGAATATCTAGACGATCGCATTGAGGAGAGAAATGGTGGTAATGCAGATTCCTCTTCAGCTCTGCCAGCACCGAGAAGTGGGTGGGTGTGGTGAGATCGGGACTGAGGCTTTCTCGCGAACTGCAAGTGCAGGCCAGTAGCTCTCATCAA